GGCCAATTATCTCGTAAATTACCAGACATAATTATACAAAATTTGCGGTACACCTATTTTGGGATACGTTGATTCCATATTTGATATTTGCAATGTTACCAGATTTGCCGTTTCTCTTATATTATTAGTAACTTTCGTTTTTCAAATTCATCACCCTATATATACACTCATTACTGGAATCTCCTTTTCAATACGAGTTCAACCATATGTAACACTTATGATTTTATGTAGTATGAAAGGTCTTAAATACATAAAAACAGAAGTCTGGCAACGCCTAATTGTCTCATCTTTTTAACACAATGGTTACTTTATCAAGTGTTCAAAAATGTGCTCCATTTGTGAGTTAAGAGTACCATAATCGATGGTAGAATGCGTCTACCATATTTTTCTATGATTATCTAGAATTTATTCGAGATTCATCGATTTTTCGTTGTTTTAGTTCTGCAAGTTTTGCTGGATTAGTTTTGTAAACTGAATTTTTCAAGTATCCCCAATAAAAATAATCTTTAGGATTGAAATCAGGTGAACGTGGAGACCATTCAATTCTACCTCGTCTACCGCTCCATCGTCCTGAAAATATCTCTTCTAAACAACCCCGAGCATCAACCTCAAAATGAGCTGGAGCTCCATCTTGCCCATATCTAATTAAAATTGGTACCAAACAAGTTTATCAGTGTAGGTACAATTTCATTTCTAAGTAACATTTCCTAACTATCTGAAGTTCAATTACCTTCGATAAAAAATGGCCCAATTAACTGAATACATACTATACCTGATCATACATTTAATTTTTGTGGTCTTTAAGTTTGGTTTTCACGAAACCAGTGTGGATGTACGTCACTTTAGTACCTTAAATTGTGTCGATTTACACTTCCACACAGTGTAAAGGTTATATCATAGGAAAAATAAATTCTGTTAACGAAATTTTCATCACTTGAACTCTAATCTACGATCGAAGTCATCTTCACTTAATTCTTACAATAAGTTAATTTTGTATTGTTTAAAAATATTAACGTATATAATACACGTAAGACTGAAGAACGACCTATATCATGTACTTGTGCAACCCTGCATATAGGATGTATATGAATCTTCAACAAAACTTTGTATTACATCTAGTTTTGTTGTCATTTATAACTCTTTTTGGTATAACTGATCGGTATCTATCTAGTAAATTCGTAATTCATAATTCGTAAATTGTAAATTGCTTGTCATAATTTTACAAAATTTGGTGTAAATGTTCGGCGTTATTTAGAAGAGGTATTTCCCGGACGATGTATTGGTAGACGGGGTAGAATTGAATGGCCTCCACGTTCACCTGATTTTAATCCTAAAGATTATTTTTATTGGGGATACTTGAAAAATTCAGTTTACAAAACTAAACCAGCAAGTCTTGCAGAACTAAGGCAACGAAATATCGATGAATCTCGAATAATTTCTAGACAATCATGGAAAAATGTGGTAGACGCATTCTACCATCGATTAGGATACTGTCAACTCACATGACGCACATTTTGAACACTTGATAAAGTAACCATTATGTTAAATAATGTTGTAATCTATCAACTGTTACATTTTAATGTAGGTAAAAATAGTTAGTATTAAAAAATTTATTGAGACAATTAGGCGTTGCCAGACTTTATGTTTTATGTATTTAAGATCTTCCAAACTACATACAATCATAAGTGGTACATATGGTTGAATTCGCATTGAATAAACGATTCCAATAATGACTGAATATACAGGGTGACGAATTTGAAAAACCAAAGTTACTAATAATATAAGAGAAACGGCAAATCTGGCAACATTGCAAATATTAAATATGGTATCTCCGTATCCCAAAATAGGTTTACCTTAAATTTTGTACAATAATAATTAGAAATTTAAAATTATCTCGTAAATTAGAAATTTACGAGATAATTGGCCGTTTCCAGACTTTTGGGCCACTCTGTATATGTCGCTAATAACCCTAGAGGTTAATGCGACTACATTTGTTAAAAAAAAAATATTTTTATATGTGATACACTATTTCCATATAAAGATTGAGCAGCTGAAATTAATGTGGTACAAGTACATACTTGTGTGGTATTGTTTCCTGTTTGTGATCTGTTTGGAGAATACGTTTTAGTAAAATATATTAAAATACCTTAAAATAATGTCGCAAAAACATTTGAAGTAGATTTTAATTTGATTTAGTGTTTTTAAATATTAGTTTATAACCGGCAAAATTGCAAATAAATATTAATCCAATTATATACTAGAACTGTAACATCCTTCAAAACCAAAGAATTAAATATACAAAAAAATGCTCAGTGAGTCTCATCGACATTTTGTTCTGACATAGTAACAATATAACTCTCTAAAAAATAAAAACTCTAATAGTTTTAAGGTATTTTTATAAATTTTCATAAGTGGAGTCATCTTATGAAAAATAAAATTAAACTGGAAACAAATCTCAATTTTTCACATTATTCGCTTCTCTACACGCCGACACCTAAATTAACAAATCTTACCCCTAAACGTTAAAAAACTTACAACTCTACATTAAGTTATGAAAAATATCCGACATTCTGCGTTTTTTTATTTTAGCCGTGGAGGGGTAAAAATTGGCTTAACATATTAAAAATTAACAAAAATTGCATCATTCTTAAATTAAATATAAAGGTATACTATAAATGAAGAATATGTATAAAGCTTATAAATGTATTTTATAAAGATCAAACCTTTTAATACATATAAAGGTAAACATCTACCTTAACTTTCTTTGTGTGAATATTTTTCCATCACATATAAAGAAGTAAATGGCACTTTTAGATATAGGGGCAGAGTACTAAAGTTTATATGGACACCATATACTAAAAATGCCAATACAAAATCAATTAGATTGGTTAAGATGGAAATTGTAAAATGAACATAAGAATTTAAAAGTTTATTTTGTAAGGCTTGTTTTGAGGTAAACCCATATAGTTTGAAAGCTTGTTTTGAAGAAAAAATTAAAAACAATAAATACATCAAAATAATCACAAACGGAAAATGTCAAAAGTAGGTCGTTTGGCATCTCAGTTTTATCAAATGAGCTGCTTTTTTTGGAATAAATTACAATTAAAAAATACATTATTTTTGACGATTGTAAATTAATGAAAAATATTAAAATATATGTTTAATATTAACAATAAAAAATTAAAATCAATTCTTAGTGGACCAGCTATAATAAAGTGAAAACTCTATGATCAATATTCTTCAGGTATAGTTTCTTTTATAAATATATACATTTATATAAAAAGCTTAAAAAATTAAAATAAACGTGATTTTTAATGGTTGATATTGTATCACAGCAACCTCTGCTACTATCGTTAATGGATAATGGACGAAGTAATTGACCCAATAGTATCTGCAGTGCTGGTTTAAAGTTAATCGATAAATAATTGTTAAAATTAAATTACATGACAGAATATTACCCGTAAAATAAAAAATAAAAAAGAGGGTGGCACTTGGGGAGAGAAGACAGAAGTGAATACTTTAAACAAAAGTATTACTTATGTTAAAAATCAATAGAGAATTTCGGAGCTATAAAATCGTGAAATACCACCTTCTACCCACCATGAAGTACCACGATGAAATACCACCTTCTACCCAAGATCCACCTTAAAAGAAGCTTAATAGCATTCTAATCCTTGAATTCATATTATACACAGCTATGTGTTTTGAATTTCCCACAAAATGGAAATCGACATTAATGAATTAATTTAGCTTTACACTTCGAATGGATAGACAGTTTGTTGGAAACTTCAATAAAAATTGCTTTTTATATAACGTACAAACCCAATTTGCGTTTTCTCTTCCCTTGTATGTTTACATGTTTTCTATTTTTCTTGATTATTTGCTCCTCCACTTTCTTTCTTATGTTTTTTATCTTTATCGACGTTCGTCTTAATTCATCTATTCTATCCAATATGTGTCCATAGCATATTGTTCTTCAATGTGATTATATCTCTTCTTTTTAATCCATTGTATTGTTCCGTCATCTTTGACGTCTTTTCTCCTCTTACTTTTCTTATATTTCTTTTGAATATTTGTAGTTGTACTTGCCCTCTTGCAGATAAATCATTCCGAGAGGGTCGTGAGACCTTGACGTCGCCGTCGGTGGAAGGATTCAGTAATTTTTCATTTCCTGATCATTTTAGATCGAGAACGGCTATCCGGTTGTATTTTAGCTCGACTGGGGGCTCTGTCAAGATGATCATTTTTCTTACTGATCGTGGACATAAAATAAGGTTCTTACAAAAATAAATATTAACACCACTACTAAGGAAGATATAGAAGACTCTAAAAACACTTATACCGAGGTTGAAAATCTGGAGAAAAAATCTCCTCCTCTGAGGAGATTGTTTCTCCAGCAAAACTTAACACTGGCATCAGTTCCTCGTTACCGAAGAATACACGGCAATGAAAGAGCTGATTAACTCTTCTATTCTAAGCCAGAATATGATCAGTTAGAAGTTACTTCGGTCCAGATCCGGCCGTAGGAGTGTCAAAAAGCGCCGTCCGCAACCGGGAAAAACTTTGGATTAAAAAAAATGTAACTCTCACTGGAAAAGTATACCGAGTTAAGCATATGGCAAAATGATTATTGAGCAGATATACGCTAAGAGGACTGAACTACTGCTGAAATCAGCTCAGAGTCTTAAGAGGCTTCCTTAGTGGACATGCGTCAGTCCACTTAGAGATACCTGCGTACAATGGATATGTTTCATGGAGACTTAATGTGCAGACTCTGTAGTAAGGAAACTGGAACAGTCAACCATATATTATATGACTTCGAGGCACTCGATGGAAGGTGGTAAACACATTTTGGTTGTCTCTAAAAACATATGGTACCAATACAAAAACATATGGTACCAGTACGACCCGTTTATAACAGACGGCTGCCGAAAAAATAGAGATCATAATAGCAATGTCATTTCTGTATTATCCATGCATAACATTAGTAGAAAAAACTGCTATGATTCTCTCCTATAAAACAATTTCACTAAAGTAGTACTGCTAATGGCAGCAACATAACTATCAAATATGTAATTAATGTATTCAATAATTCTTTTTAACTAAAAATTAATAATTAATTTCATGATGAAAATTTGAAAACAGTTCGTATAAGGCCACACTTGTACTAATCTATCACTAGGGCTGCCGATGCATAACTTACGGAAGAATCGTTCATATTGCGACATTGGCTTGACTGTGCATATTTCAAAAATTTCAAACTAGCACGTTGACTACTATCGTTCCTGAGTAATTCTTGTATTGCCTAAAAAGAAAAATAAAAATCAAATTACTTTACAACTTTTTTCAAGACTAGATTGATAAATGTGACAAGTCACAGTCCAAAAGTGCCATCGATCTTTTATCGCTAATTATTTCTTTGGATTTATGGTTCTTCAGAACCTACCAGCAAGAATCCTATCTGAACTATAATATTGCTGAAAAAATGTACGCTGCACATGAATACATGATAATATTTGTCAGGTATCATCAAGGTATTTTTATATAACATTAAAAATATATTGTTTTTTAAAATGTACCTTCGACAATTATCAATGTTTTATTTTAAATATTTCGTTCAACTCTAGGCATATTCAAAATTACGAGTAGAAAACAATTTTTAAAATATGAATATGCACACCTTTATCAATATACTAAAATATAAACGCACATATTATCCACGCCAGCATTTTACAAGTCAACGGCAATGCTTAGAGGTTCTAAAACTGTATTGTTGTGGCATGTTAAAAATTGTATTTATATGGGATTACATAACATCTGATTGTAACGAGAATTACATTTTACATTTTTTTTTGAGTTTACCGAAAGTACAAGCTGATATTAGCCGCAAACGTCAAACATGGAATAAAATATTTTGGTATAGAGCATAGGGTATAGCAGTGTTGGCATGTTTTTATAATGTAGTTAATGTATGCTTCAAATATAAAACGATAAAGTTTTAGAAAAGTACATTTTGTTTATATTATGTTGTGAATTCTGCAATGTTTGATTTATATAAAACAAGAATGAGTAAATATTTGTTTCTTTGGAGATTAATGATCATCATTTTGGCTTTACAACCCTGTGTAGGTCCTAGCCTCCCCAAGAATTTTTTTCCAGTCGTCCCTATCCATCGTCTTCCTCCGCCAAGCACGTATTTCTATATTTCTCATATCTTGGTGTATGTTATCTAAAAATCTTGGTCTGGGTCTTCCTCTTCTTCTTTTACCAATAGGTCTTTCAAGAAGCATTTTTCTAGCTTGGTCGGTTTGCTCCATCCGCATTACATGGCCTACCCACCTCAGGCGTCCTATCTTAATGTGTTTTACGATATCTGGTTCCTGGTATATTCTATAAAGTTCGAAGTTGTCTCGTCTTCTCCAGATACCATTTTCATTTACCGCTTCATAGATTCGCCTTAGTATTTTTCTTTCGAAACATCCTAACATGTTTTTATTGCTTTTTGTTAATGTCCAAGTTTCTGAACCATATGTTAGGACTGGGCGTATTATTGTTTTGTAGAGTTTTACTTTTGTATTTCTTGATATAACTGTAAATTTAAAAAGGAGATTAAGCCCAAAATAACATCTATTAGCCGTGCAAATTCTGCGGTTTATCTCTGCGGTAGTGTCATTTTCAGTCTTGACGAGCGTTCCCAGGTATACAAATTCGTTAACTGCTTCGATGACGTCGTTTTCTATAACAAGTGGCCGTAGTATTTGTGGTTCATCATCATCAGTAGCTTGACAACCCTTTTTGGGTACTGGCTTGTTCTAGGATTTTCCGCCATTCTGTTCTGTTCTTTGCTTTATTTTTCCAGTTGGTAATCTTAAGTGTTTTCAGATCTTGTTCCACTTGTTCCATGTATCTAAGTTTGGGTCTTCCCTTTGACCTTCTCCCTACTGGTGTTTGCCTCATTATATGTTTTGGCATTTCAGTCTCCAACATCCGTTCAACATGGCCCATCCAGCGCAGACGTCCGATCTTTATGGATGTTACGATCTCGGGTTCATTGTATGCTGTGTATAGTTCAAAGTTATATCTTCTGCGCCATATGTCATTTTCCTTTACCCCCTTATATATGTGTCTAAGGATTTTTCGTTCAAATGTTCAAATGTAGTGTAGGTTCTCATCGCTTTTCGACAGTGTCCACGTCTCTGATCCATATACAAGGACCGGTTTTATCAGGGTCTTGTATATTTTGCATTTGGTTTTTCTTGTGACATTGTTAGATCTTAGATGTTTAATTAGTCCATTATATGTTTTATTAGCAATATGTGTTCTTCTCTAACTTTTTCACCGATATTGTTATCTGCGGTAACTAGTAAACCTAGATATGTAAAACTTTTCACGCTTTCAATGTTATAATCTCGTATTGTCAGATTCTGTAGGTTTCTTTGGCCTGTCGGTTTACTGGCCTGCATGTATTTGGTTTTTATTTCGTTAATGTTTAGGCCACTGTTTTGTGCCGCTCTTTCTATTGCATTAAGTATTTTTTGGTTGCGTACCTATTTTCATGTATTTCATTTTATTGGTGTTTATTATTAAACCCATTTTTGTAGCCGCTTCCTTTAGTGCTACTTACATCTCTCGTGCTGCGTTTTCCGTTCTCCCAACAATATTAATATCATCAGCATGACGTCCAGGCGCACCAATCACGCGCCTCGACTTTGCCTAGTCCTCCCTTTTTTAACTTTTAAAACTTTTAATTATTTTAATTAGAAATACTGTGTTTCATTTCTAAAGTACCTGCACCACCTGCAGCATTGTCTTTTACAAGATAATGACCAAAACAGAGCGTACCGGCTAACTACGCAATATTGCACAATATTGCGCAATAGTTAGATGATATTAGTAAACATGGTTATGGCACCAAGATGCATTTCAATTTCCGACGTTTACTAATAATCGCCCGGAGACGACATGGCGCCCAACAAAATCGAACGCACCACGACTCAGAGTCAGAGAGTCTCGTGCTCCAAGTGATCGAACATCACAACAGTTCCGACACGAGGCCTGCATCAAAACCACTCAAGAAAACAGCGGGGAGATGCATCGGATGTTAGTACGTTACACACTAACATGCCGATATCCACCTTCTGCAGCCTGAAACCGTCGATGTGTTAGATTTTTCGAGCCACCCGACTTCGATGCCGTACCTGATGCACGATGGATGTCCCCGGAGTAGCCAGTCCCTGCCTGCCCTACCATTATGTGGTCCAGAGTCACCACGGAGGCTCAGGTAAACTCGCCTACGACCCACCGGCGACATGCAGAAGGTACCGACAGGGCTAGAACGGGACGTAGCGGCCGACAACCGACCACATCGCCGAGGATGGACCTGCAGATGCCGGCCACAACACCGACCACCGCCTGTGAGTGTTTTGTGCAGTGCTAGTGCGCGTTTCGCGAGTGTTACGTGAGTGTAAGTGCTTAGAGAACTGTAAGTAGATCTGACAATATGGACATATCTATTTTTTATAATATTTCATGCATTTTTATAATATTTCATGCATTTTTTCTTCTTTTTTCCTATAGTTATGACTTGTAAAAAAATTGTTTTTCTTAAGGATGTTAATAAAAATCAGTTTTTTTTATCAGCATCAGAGTCTCTAAAGCAGGGGGGGTGACGTCCAGGCGCACCAATCGGGCGCCTCGACTTTGCCTAGTCCTCCCTTTTTTAACTTTTAAAACTTTTAATTATTTTAATTGGTCGAGAAATGAAAAGGTTTCATATAAAAGTTAAAATACTTTAAATATGGGACATTTTCGGATCTCGCTCTTAGTCGTGGTTTTACTCTCAGAGAGTAGCCGTCGAGCTCCTCACTGGAGGACTCGGCAATTTTCACACCAAACCATAAAAGACTCTGACGCTGAGTTTTTTTCTACTTAGAAATACTGTGGTTCATTTCTAAAGTACCTACACCACCTGCAGCATTGTCTTTTACAAGATAATGACCAAAACAGAGCGTACCGGCTAACTACGCAATATTGCACAATATTGCGCAATAGTTAGATGATATTAGAGAGTTATTGCAAAGTTAACAGTGCCTGCGTTGCACTATTTACACCGCGCTATTTCGACATTTTTGACATATGGCTGACACATAACAAATAGAGATATTGCTTGAACTTATGCATACTTTGTTGCGTTATTTACGTTGTTTATGTTTTCTTTTCATTTGTTCGCAAATTATTGAAAATTGATCATGATTTAGAAGCACTTATTTTAGCAAATGCTCATGATGATGATGTAGGGTTCATCATTTTAAAAACATTGTGGGCGAACATGTATTACATCCACAAAATTAAGAATTTAGTTTAGAAAACATGTTGGAAGCAGATGTAAAAATAAATTTTAGGTTTAGCAGACAAGATATTCCTACACTTGCAAGGGATTTACGCCTACCAGATTTTATTCATACCAATACTAGAAACTCTGTTAGTGGTAAATGCATTTGTATTCTACATTACTTTTGAAATTAAGCCCTTATATTTTTGTTTTTAGGAGTGATGAGAATGCTCGCATATCCCAGCAGGCTTAAAGATCTTCAGCTTTTATTCAATTTGTCACCTCAATCATTATCTCAAATTATTAATATTTTTGCATTATGCTACTCTCTGATGTACTCATTTTAGAAAATTATTACAAATAAACTTGGTTTAAATGAAAGACAAACAACATACATAACATGAGAAAGAAAATAGCGCAACGAATACCGCACAGCGTAACGGCTCCCCTAATAACGGCACGCCGTATTTTCAATAACGCAGCGTAAGCCAAATATCACATCTGCGCATGCTCTACTGTCAAAATAACGCGTGATGAAATACAGCAAGTGCAAAATTGACTCTGCAATATCTCTCTATTAGTAAACATGGTTATGGCACCAAGATGCATTTCAATTTCCGACGTTTACTAATAATCGCCCGGACACGACAAGCATATGCTAGGAATTGCACAGATTTGATATATATTGAACCGGTAGTTGTGATTTGTGACGTACGTATTACGTTTTCCAGAGCTAGATTGAATAGTATACAGGAGAGTGGGTCTCCCTGACGTAGCCCGTTATTTGTTTTAAAAGGTTCAGAGAGTTCCCCTGGATTCGTACTCTGCATTCAAATTTTTCAAGGGTTAGTTTGGTTAGACTTACCAATTGATTTGGTACTCCTAGGTCTATCATTGTTCTAAACAATTCTCTTCTATTTATAGAGTCGTAGGCTGCCTTGTAGTCTATAAATATGTGGTGCGTGTCTGCACCGTATTCCAGTGTTTTCTCTAGAATTTGTCTCAGGGTTGAAATCTGATGAATTGTTGATTTACCACTTCCGCAACCAGCCTGGTATTGTCCTATTATTCGCTCTGCATACGGTGCCATACGATGGCATAGTATATTGGAGAATATTTTATACGCTGCATTAAGGAGCGTAATTCCTCGATAGTTAGAGCATTCAAAGATATCTCCCTTTTTGTGTATGGTGCAAAGTATTCCAATATTCCAATCACTGGGAAGGGACTTCTGTATCCATATTTCTTTTATAAGTTGCTGTAGCGCTATTATGATATCGTGGCCATCTTCTTTATATAATTCCGCTGGGAGATTATCTATTCCAGATGATTTGTTTCTGGCTAGTTTGTTTACAGCGTCTTTAACAGCCGTTCCATGATCTTTGGTGGATCCTCCTCCCTCTCGGTCGCTCCGCTTACCTCACAGCTTTCGTCTTCCGGGTTTTCTTCTTCTTCCTCTATATTAAGTATCTGGTTAAAATATTCCGTCTATCGATTTAGTACGCCTGTTCTTGTTGTTAATAGATCGCCATTCAAACTTCTACATTGATTTGTGTTTGCGTTGAATTCTTTTCTGTTGACGTTAACTTTCTTATAGAATGTTCTGAATTCTTTCTCTCTGTTGAGGTTTTCTATATTTTGAAGTTCCTTTTTTAAGTGATTTCGTTTCTTCATTCTGTGTATTTTCTTTTCTTCTCTTCTCTTTGTCTGGTAATTCTCTACACTTGTTCTAGTTCGGCGGGTAAGCATTTTTGCATAGGCTTCATTTTTTTGCGTTGCGTCTTTTCATTCATCGTCAAACCAGTGATTTTTTAGGGTACAAGTTTCTGTTCCTATTTCATCTTGTGCTGCTGACTCAATAGCTTCCTTTATCCTGTTCCAGTAGGAGTCTATATCTCTTTGGTCTTTTTCGCTTAGCCTTTGATTTTTTAACCTATTGGTAATATTTTCCCAGTACTGTTTTGCAACAGTTGCATTTTTATTTGTTGGAATTTGAAATTCTAGCCCTTAGTGTTGAGATCACTAAACAGTGGATCGTGTCCATGTTTGGGCCTCTATAACTTCTGCAGTTCATTATGTCCGTTCCGTGTCTTAAATCTATTAAGATGTGATCAATCTGACTAGTTGTTCTTCCATCAGGGGAGGTCCAGGTTACCTTGTGTATATTCTTGTGTTCAAAATAGGTGCTAGCGACGGTCATATTCAGTGCTGCTGCTAAGTTTATCAGTCGTAATCCAATTATTCCGTAATCTTTGGAGATAAATTGTAGAGATTTATTAGAAATTTTTTTAGTAATTACCCTTTGATAGATTAGGAGATAGATTTGGTAATAGTCAAATCAGCAGTTGCCAGATGTTTGCAATTAATCTCTAAAGAGACAAATATTTACCAGTTATTGCTTCATATAAATTAAAAACTGCTGAATTCATAAAATAGTATAATCAAAATGTACTTTTTAAAAGCTTTATCTCTTTATATTTGAAGCATACAACATATGCATTATAAAAACATGCCAACACTACCAAACCGAAATATTTTTGACATTTGCGGCTATATTCAGCTTGTACCTTCGCTAAACTTAACCCATTTTTTTTGACATTTCGATTTTTACTACGAAAATAGTTTTTCCATGATCCAATCAGAATAATATATTTCATCGGTGTCGATATAGTTTCAGAATATTCCACACTTACTCTCTGTTTATACTATCGAAGGCTTTTTCGAAGTTAATAAGCATTGCCATTTACTATTAATTAACTCACAGTAAATTAATATCAAAAACAATACCTGTAAAAGTATTCCTATAGGGTGTCGGCCGCAAATGGTGTTGCCGTATTTTCTTAAATAATTAGTAAATTCCGTTGGATTTAAATTTTCAATAATACTCATACCCTAAAAAGAGATGGCATGGTTAGTAAACACAATAAATTACTTATTCTATTTGTTATATGAATCTTAAAAAAACTAACCAATATCAGACATATATAATATATTATATTCATGTAAGCATATTATCTGGTAGCAAGAAACAAATATAAACCTACAAATAATCACAATAAAACTGTCGACTCAATGAAACGTAAACATTTTTAACACTTGGTATTTTATATCATTTATATGTACTAAATTTATGGGAATAAACTACAATTATTTCAATTAAAAATACGTTAAATTTGACGTAAAAATTTAAAATATTTTAAATGTGATAAAAAATTAAGACTAGCGATGAAGGATAAATGCATAAATTGTGGTTTGTTATCTTCAGCAAAAGATAAATTGAAACAGTACGCCAAAAGACTATTTACGAGTTCATCAATGGAAAAATAATTCTTAAATATCTTCCAAACATTGGGATTATTAGAAAGGAAATTATTTGGTATATAACTTATATTTTGCTCTTGTAAAAGAAAATGAAGAATTGTTTCAGTAAACGGTATTTCTATTGTTACATCATGTTCGCCCGTAATACAGCTTTCAAAGAGATTTTGAATAATTGAATCAAGCGACTTATGGAGGAATAATTCTTCCTGTTGTTCAACTGATTTTAAGTTGGTATCAAACGTGACTAATTGCAGTTTGCAATTTTAAAATACACGTGATTAAAACATTAAAAACATTAATAGCTTGGTAATTTTGCAATAAATATAAATAATAAAGTAAATAACTACCGTACTTACTACTCTATCCAGTCCTTCAATTGATTGATAAATATTACCATAAGACCGGTCATAATAGGTATACCTAAATCTGTGTCCCCAGTGACAAAAATCTGATGATATAATAAAAAGATTCTTAGGATCGGCTAGGTAATTGGACAAAATTCTACCATAGCAAGCTTCTTTCTCATGACTGAGAGACCCGACGAGGATAGGAACAATTGTGAATTGATTTTTGTAGCTAAAACAGTGCGAATATTGTTTATTAGGAACCTACAAAAAAAAAATATGTCTAGAATAGTTTCCACTCACTTTTCCATTACTTTAGCTATGTAAGGTAGGTGCATTTCAATACTATGCTCATTTTCATCAGTATCTAAATCCATCCACTCAAACTGACCCGTCATTTCTAATTCACTATTAACTGCAACAATAAGTTAGTTCTTAAATTCACATTGTTAAGATCAATGACTATTGATCCGCTATTAAGCTATTACCAATTGATTACCTACATAATATACTACAATTGTATACTGTAATTGTATACTGTAATTGTATACTTACTATGACTACATTAGATTACATTATTTTTTAAATATCTTCTGAGATAAACAACAGAGAAATTGTAAAATAAAACAATTTATTATTTGTAATTGTCAGAAATCATTCCTATGATATGACAATAAAATACATAAAAGGTTTTTCAGAAAAACTCAGATAAATCGATGAAACATACAAGAAGCAGCGCATGAATCATTAGGAACTAAAACAATAAACAGAAGTATGAAGTTCAAATCAAAAACGCCTTGGTTCACCAAAGATGCTAAAAAATATCATACAGAAGTTAAAACACTTCACACTTGTATTTTGGTATAAAAACATATAGTTAAATCTTTTTAAAAAAGTGTCAAAATTTATGTAGTAGCATAACGTTTTCGATCTGAACAGATCATCATCAGTGCCTTATGTAGTTGAAGCTAACAATAAAGTTGTGGTTGTGACATCCATATATTTGTTTACACCATTCCAAATTTTAATTATGTTGTGACTAGGTCGATGACAATGGATAAAATTTATTACTTTAGGCACTACATGTCTCCCTGCTCGATTTTTAACACGTGGTACTTGTCACTTAAAACGACACAGACCAACTGGCTGAGGTGACAGGAATATAATTTAAGAAGACAGCTAAACGTGACTAGGTATAGGTGTCTTCCGAAACTAATGTAATTTTTTAATTATAAAAATTATAAAATTTATTTTGTTGTAATAATACCTAACATCTTATTAATGATCCTGTAGTTAAAATTAAATTTGTTTAAATGATAAAATTTATCGTCTTAAATCTGCAAATCTCTATTATTGAAAAAGAAATGAGTTATCAAATTAGTGGAATTAGTGTTTAAGGTTGAATTTATGACATCATAAGTGGTTAGAAAAATGATGAAGGTAGAAAATGAAAGGAAGTGATGTGGTACTATCCACATAGTAGTGTAGAAAGGGTATAAAAAAATAGTATATACTAAAAGATTAAGTTGGAGTTAAATCCAATGAAATGAAAGTAAAAATTATTTTTTAATAATGGTGGTTGCCTAGAAACGGTAAGGGACCTATTGTGAAGTATGTCAAATAAATATAAATGAAGCTGAGAAAGAATGAATGAAAATATTAATAGAGGAAAGAGGAAATGTAAAATGTTGGTTAAGTAATATACAGTTAAGTATAGCAGCGAGAATAAGTTGGATACTATGTTGTTGTGAACTGTATGGACAAAGTTAGATAATTAAGTATGTAAATGGAAAACCAGACAAAGTGATATGTGTGTGAATATGTATTAGAGAAAGAATGAAATAATGGACACTATATGTTGAGTTAACTGTGAGGGGAAATGATTGACTGCATATCTGAGTTGGTTAAGTGAAATGTATATTATAAGTGGTAGTGGGGTCCACAGACTGAAAGTGTCGAATGGATGTGTGATGATAAATGTTTAAGTTTAAAATTAATGATGGAAGTTAATAATGAAGAATAATGTTGAAGAACAGTAAAAAGACAACTAAGTAGACCCCAAGAAGTAAGAGACACGAGGAGAGAATGTGTGAAGAAGTGAGTCTTAAAAGAACTGGCAGGAGGATGAGAAAACGAAAGAAACTGTCATGGGATAAGATGCTGTAAGAGAAAGGAGTATGATGAATAGAAAGACAGAAAATGAGAGGGTGGAAAAATTTAGGTAAGGTATGTGTTAATGGGTGATTAATAAGGAAGTTGTAAAATGTTAGATGCTAGTGGGGTGGTTGGGAAAAGAGAAAACAGGAGCAAAATAAATAAAAAAGATGAAATTTAGATGCAATTATTGGAATGTTGATTAAAATGTATGGATGTCACAACCCCAACTTTATTGTTAGCTTCAACTATATAAGGCACTGAGGATGATCTGTTCAGATCGAAAACGTTATGCTTCTACATGAATTTTTACCACACTTTTTAAAAAGTTTAATTATATGTTTTTATACCAAAATACAAGTGTGAAGTGTTTTAAATTCTGGATGTTTTTTTAAACGATGAACATAAAAAAACATAAAAAAAGATAAAGAAACATAAAAAACTTGTTTAAATCGCATTTGAAAACTATATCAAAAAAGACGAGTGGATTACCTACCTTATAATTTTTTTTAAACAAGATGCTTTATCAGAAACACGAGATATATCATCAGATCTACTCCAGTATGGAGAATACATTCTTATTATACAACTTCAAAACTTATATAGAACATCAGTATAGTGACAAAATAGAATCCCTAAAGAATGGAAAACAGCGATGTTATTGTTCAAAAATGAGATCATAAAAATCCAAATAATGATCGTAGAATAATCCTATTCTGACACCACTCTGAAGCTAACAATAAGAATATTAACAAAAAAATTTTCTGAAGAACAACACCGGAAGAAGAGGAGCGAGGGTTCAGAACAGATCGATCGGGCGCAGATGCAGTGTTCATAGTAAAATAAATAAAAGAGAAATCCTTAGATTATAATAAAGGTAATTTATGTGCATTATAGATTTACCTAAAGCGTTTGACTCAGTTCAAAGACCCAGTTTCAAAATTGTTAAATGATATTATCAATATAATATGGTCATTGATTAAATTACAAAAGGCATACACCATCGTGAAAACGTCTAAGGACAACAAAGTAATTGTAAAATTAGGGAGCGAAATGCTGCAACCAATTTCATGATATGATAATTCCCATAGAAAAAAAAAACGAAAACTATAGTTAGGTATTTCAAAAGAATTTTAAGAGTTGATGGAAACAGAGTATCTAGAAATTAAATTATCCAGACACCCAAAATAGAGGAAGAGGTAAAAATACAAAAATACATAACTACAGTCAACAGAATATCTGGATGCTGGAGAATCTCTATTTGACAGGTCTTATCAACGAAAAGCAGAGCCATGAATATATATACAAAACTGTGATTGGAGCAATAATGTTATACACTGCTGAAGCCCGAGCTAATATTAACCGAACTCAAAAGATTATTACAAACAACGGAAATGACAGTAATAAATAGAACATTAAGATACAGAGAACGGAACGAAGATACAAGTTATACAGGTAAAATAGAATGAGTAAACAGATGGATTAAGAACAGTAAAAATTAATAGAACCAGCACATAAATCGAATTACTGACTATACAGTCGTAAAATTAGCAAGAAACTGGAAGGAGATCGACTTAAATGATATCAATCAGGAATAAACCAAACGATGAACAGGCATATGCATATAGAGAACAGTAAAGAGAAAATTATATTTAACGATAAACAAGAAAAACCAACAATTATACTTAGCCAATAATATCTTTTATTAAATTGATCAATTGATTGATTTATTGATTTTGACTTATTTATTGATCAGTCAGTATTTATTCTCGATAGTGAAAAAATAAAACTATAGGAGTTCTATTAAACATATTACGTTGTTGCAAGTTCCTCTAAAGAATCTAGTGGTATTTCAGTGCCAATACTGGAGGAATATGTCGGAAAAAACTTAATTTCAACTTCGATAGAGTAGCAAACGTAAAAATAAATATCGTGACTTCATTTACATAATAATAAGGCATTTGTAAGAACAATGACTTATGAAGTAAAATAAAAATGTATATATTTTTTTTCGTTTGTATTTAAAAAAATTAGTAATGGAAGCAATACCTTGCAAGGATAACCAGAAAAAGTGATACAATAAGGAGTGTACAACGTGAACATCACATGTGCCTATGCACCACAGATAGGGTGAGTAGAACAGGAAAAGGAAGAGTTTTGGAATGTCCCCTTTATCTTATTTAAACATAAAAGCGACATTTGTAGCATTTGCAAATTCATTAAAATCCCCTCGTATATGTATTATATTGAAATCCCCTCGTATTTGGTGAAGTATAGAAGAATGATTTCAGTATAGTTCTCTTCACTTTCGTAGAAGTTAAATTACCCAAAAGTATTTTCAATCATTTTATTTACATTGCTGGATATTGTGTAAACCATTTTATAGTTGTTTATATTTCGCAACTGCGTATGTTCCTCGATATTTCTTTGTTCAAACTGCCCGATACTGCGTTTTCAAATTCATAATTTGCGTCTTAATTCTCGTTTGTGTTTTGTTTATACCCAGCGATTTGTTTATACCAAGCTATGTGAATTAATTTTAAAGATAATTTCATCACTCTTCAAATGTTCAAATTCACATGTTCAAATTCACGTTGAATTTGTAAAGTTTTCTGTTTTTGCCTCTTTTCATGGAAATCTTCGTCTTACGTTGTGGAAAATAAGTTTGTAGCAGTTAATAGTAGCAGTTTAATGCGTATACAGTCTAATTCTACCTGTTCCTGTTTGTTAAGAGGCAGAGTCCCAAGTTTTTGTTCAGTGGCGACTTCAACCTAAAATAGTCAGTCCTATCGCAGTGTAAGATGTAGTTTTTTGTTCCCGTAAGAGTTCCAGAAAATTCAAAGTGTTTTTGTGAAATCCAGGTAACTTTTTTTTCGTGTGAAATTTTAAAGTAAAGACAGACATTTTTTAAGTAATCATTGCTTTCATAATTTCATACTATAAAAAAGATTTGTAATAATTAATAAATTGTAAAATTTTAGGTGTTGACTTTAGCTGTCAATTTATTTGTTGTTTTTTTAAAATTTAATGTTAACTTATGAAAGCTCATTTTATTATTTTTTATATTCATTTGTTTTGTTGTTAAAAAAGGTTAACCTCCATGCAGTAACGATTTTGAAAGTTTTTTGTAGCAATTTCCCATTGTAAACAGATGTAAGTTTTTTTTGTATTTTTGTACATTGTAACTATTCATATAGTATTTTTGTATTGTTTTATTTTTATAATTGTTTGTGGTAAGACACAATGAATGTTAAATTGTTT